AATGCAAAAGCAAACTTGCAAAACACTAAAGCCTAAATTTTGCCTTATATGGAAACGTTGTCTTATCACTTAGGGATATTTCTCTTCCTGAAGTAAAGCTTAGCCATTTATCTGATCAAAAACTGTGCACTAAGTAAAGTTTTTTGCTACTTACTTAATGAACGTTTCCATTTTGACTTCACTCATTTGCGAGAATTTTGAATTTAGTCACAAATTTGATAAATATGAATCAGTTTATCACGTTGTACACGTCAAAAAATTTGACAAAAGTTAGATCACAAATACAAACGAAACAGATAATTAGTTGAAGTCTCGATGACTTGCACTTATTGAAGACGCTTTATGATTGATAGAAAGCTTAGATCAATTTATTTAATCTAATAAACAAATATATTAATTTTATTAATGCTCTTCGAAATGATTGAAAATAGTTAAGAAAAAATGTGAAAAGACGATTTTTGTCAGTTTACATATGTGCTTTGTACAATTTGAATAGAGACCATTCTTCAACTTTAAATGATACCCACTGGAATAGTAACCAAAAGCTTCTGCAAGTTATGCTAAATAGTCATTTTCGCGTGATAAAAAGTAGCTATTTATCATTTTATATGCACAAAACTTTTAAGCGTAAGCTTTACTTCGTAAAATTTGTCTTATTCCGAATTTTCGCCTGCACTCTAATAAACATTTTCTTTCTTGTATTCACTTCAATATGTCCAGCAGTTAAATTTATATTAGGTCAAATTTGTTGCAAAAGTAATTATTCCATAACTTGCTATCTATCTTTTGAGTAAACTTTTACTTCAACTGCTGTATTATTTGAAACGAAGTTGTCAGCAAAAAGAGTAAATTCTTTCCTATTATGTTGCTGTCAAAGGTTAAATCAGGTGTGAATAATTGTAAACGTGAACGTCTATTCAAGTTCACCACAAAAGAATCAAAACAGGTTTTCAAGAATATATTGAGAAAGTGAAAGCGTTGCTGTCGTTTCCTTTCGTTAATAAATAGTAATTATTATTATTGCATAATGTGTTTTGACTTAAGTTTACCTTGAAGATAAGTCGTGAAATTCTGTATCAAAGTAAAAAATCCTTGAAAAAAGTTCTTACAAAAATATAAACGTACGTTTGGTATTTGAAATTTGAAAAAGTTTGAACACTTGGGTTGGGGACCAACCGTTCAACTTACCAAGTTTTAAATATTTGATTCGACTTCAAGAAGTATGTTTCGTTCTTTTTTGCAGGCTTGACAACATGCAAGTTTTTATTGCATGAGAAACTTCAAAAGTATAAAAAATTGTCTCATTCTTTTCAAATATTTCAATTTTTTTTCTAACAAATTTCTATTACAATTTTTAGGATGGAAATGTCAGGAAGAATATTATGTAAATTAGAGTGGTTCTTGATTAGCTTTGGTTGTAGTTAAGTGAATGCATACAGCGAGCAGATAAATAGAATTAGTCTTATAGACTTTGGTTATAGTTAGATTGCTGATGATGAGGTAAGAATGTTGTCTAAGAGCTTAAAGGTCAGCACCAGCTGACCTCTCAACATTTCTGTAATCGTTTAATTCTCTTCAGAAATGTTTGACTTTTCTTTTATGAGGTATTTTAAACTTCCATTCATGATTCTAATTTATTACTCTAAAATTATTTGAATTTTAGCTTAGTTTTTATCATTTTTCAAAATTTTTTTTGTTTTTATTAGCAACTTTTTGGGAATAGTAAATTGCTGAAGTATATATAATCGCTAAAAACTGAATCACACAAAGCAATCACAAAACCAATGTTCTTCAGTTTAAAATATACAACTTTCTCATGGATTCACTAATTAAACGACGAAATACTATGAGCGTTCGCTAATAATTCTCAGATTACTTCCAGATTCTTTACTAGTTTACGTAAAATTTATGTAAAAAAATTTCGAATTTTTTTGATATAATATTTATTAAATTGAATTTAACATTTTATGAACAGAAAAAAAGTTAGCTTTAACTTTTGTGTTTTATTGTACAAAAGACTTATTAATTTTTATTTTGTATTACTTAAATGCCTGAAAAGACAGAAAACATCACACCCACAACTTCAAAGTATTATTTGTTTGACATTATTTTGTTGCTTCTATGTGATAAGATGTAGACTAATTCGGTTTTGTCCAGGCGAAAATTGTAGATCACAATGTTTTTGAATGAGATTTGGCTTCCAATGTCAATATAAGATTAAATCAATCTGGAGGTTATTGGGGAGTTTTTCACAACTATTGGGATATATTTCACTCAAAAACATGCAATTATTACGTGGTTAATATAGCTTACAGTTATACGGTGGTGTATTATGTGGACAATTTTCAACAAATCGCTGAATAATATCAATATTTAGCTGTGTTTATCATCAATACTGCTTCATAAAAATAATATTGTAATCGTATTTTCATTAAGAAGTAATGCAAAAAGGTTTTCTACTGATAAAAGCTGTTTACGTGCGTGGAACGAAAAAAATGTGCAAAACGGAAAATGAACAAAGTTTGGTTGAAAAATAAAGTTGAAAAGATTCGTTATGCTGATATATTTTTGTTAATAATAATAATAAGATTCTTAAACATTAAGATTTTTCCGATTCCGAACGCAGAAATCAGAAGGATAACAAGTCTATATGAGACAATAACTATTAGTCTTTGAATTAAGTTAAAATGTATTTAAGCATTGCAAGTTTTCCTTTTGAAATAGCGTGAAAATAACATTTTTCAAAATTTTTTTCATAAAATTTCACAGTAATTTTTATAAAATATTATTAATGGACATAAAAAAAGAGAATATATTTACATATTTCTTTCAGCCATTTACAAATTAACAATTTATAATCATTATTCATTATAACGCTCATACAATCAACCATTTATCAAATTACATGAGCTAATGAGTAATTTGCATTTGCTAAAATAATTTTTTGACTGAGTGAATACTTTGACAATTTTATGTAAAAGGAAAGAATTTTTGAGTTTTTCAAAATGTTTGTGGGAAAAACATTTTGTTGTCGAGCAAAGTTAGCTTCTGCAGCATTTATTTGCGCATCTCCATAATTAGATGCAGCCGTTCTCGATTAATTAATTGCCTCCTGTTGCCATTTCTCGATAAACAATTTGGAAACATTGCAAATGAGCTAAATAATAAATAGTTTACTTATTATGCATATGCTTCGAATTTGTTATTATTGTAAGATATTCTGGCAGCTTACTTATCTATCACAAATTAAATAATCCATATATGAGTTTTCAGCTTTTCACTAATTGCCTTGAGAAATCCTCTTAAAATGTAAATTCAATCAACTGATTTCTTACTTTTCCAAAAATTAGTGCGTTTTGATGGAAGTCTTTAATTATAAATTAATTTGACAAGACAAATAATGAGTACATTTGTCTGAAAAATCACTTTGTTTGATATTAAAGATGAAGACGAAAGTAATTTCTGATAGATATTTTCTTCCAGCCTATCCAACAATTGGATTTGTTGATGTGAATAATAGTTTAGCATTTGTCACAACGATGACATTAATGGGATGATGGATCAGGACTGATTAAGAAGACACTCTGATCAGATTCTCGTTGATAATTTGAAATAATCAGTTTCTGATTTAATCCTGCTTTATAACTGATCAATGTTTGAATGATTTTGTTGTATTTCTGTTCATTGGAATAATTTGCGTGATCAGATTCAATTTAAAACAAGAAAATGTTCATTTGATCTGGATCTAATTTCTAAAATTTGCTCTAGTTGTTAATTGGTTTGTTTTTAGTTTATAATTTTACTTACTCATTAAATTTGATTTTAATCAATTTATTCACGAACTTCTATTTTCGACTTTGACTTTAATCTGTGAATTCTGCTGATAAATTTTTAAGATGTGTACTCATTACTGTATTCTTTGATTGAATTCATTTTTACAGAAGCTAAAAAATTAATATTGCTAATTTGTTTGCTTGAAAATGTAAAGTAATCGAAAGTAATTTGCTGAAATGAGAAGGATTTATGATAATATTGTAAAAAATTAACGGCATTTTCTGACTTTTTGGCAAATATTTTTATATTTTCAATAATTTGAAGCATAAAAGGAAGCAAAAACATATCATGCATATTCAATTCAGTTCTATCCATTACATCCAATTTTTCGTCTTTCCACTTTGCAGCGCACCGTTTCCCCAAAAGCTGTACAAACTAACAGTTTCCAATTTCCTCTCTTCCAACATTTTTCCAGATGGAATACTTTTCGATCGCTTTGGAACCATTTCAAATTTTTATGTTATCGAAATTTCACTTCTCAAGTAAACTTTACAACTATTCCATCAAGTTTCAAACTTCTGTAATTTGATTCTCTTGCTGATCAATGAATTGAATCTGTTAAATTTCCAAAATGATTTGCATTCATTTGAAGTAAGTTGGAGAAATCAAAAAATGACTGTACTGTTATAAAGATGATATCATTAAATTTTTTGCTTGAATCTGCTGATACTTCTGCATGCAGTAGTTTTGTTATAAATTCAAAATTATAGTGCTTGAATTGAATCAGCAAAGTATTCAAGATTTTAGTAATGTGACAGTATAAATGCATTAATCTTATTAAGAGATAAAAGAAGTGATTCATTACAATGTCTTTACTACAATTTCCACCTTTAAATTTGGACTTGTTGCAAACTAAAAATGTTTATTCACTTATTTTTGATCATTTTTTTCCAAGTTTTCGCATAAACTTTTATCCTAAATTTATTTTTCATATCACAGCGCAATTTTTTGTACTTTCAACAAGTTCATCTACTTTTTAACGACTTTTAGAGTTGATATTCTCTTGCATGACTGTCATCTGCACTGCTTAATATGTTATCATCTGGCTTGATTCGAAATTATTTCAAAAATATCAGTGAAATATATCAGAATAAATTGGAGAGATCTGTGTTTCAGGCTGACTTTGTCCTTCGCATAAATCGAGAAACAAACAGATACTTTTGAAAATGTATGTCAGTCAATCACACACATTCATTTTAATATTAGCACTGATTGGATGTCAAATTGGTGAAATGGAAGCTAATTCCATGGCTCATGGAGGAACTCCCTCATCACACACATTTGAAAGAGCTTCTGGTAAGAATTCACCTAAATTAATACCCAAATTCGGTAATGTACTGTAGTGCAATTTCTGTTGATCAAAAACTGAAAATTAAAAAAATTAAAAGTTACAAAATTTAATCATTCATCGATAAATCTTTGCTTTGTATTGTGTTCGTTGTCTGTATTTTCCTCTAGCTGTTCCACGTTGCAAGAAATGTGATGCTATTTTCGAAAGCAAAAGTATTCTTAGTTCAAACTTTCCATCAAGCAAAAGTTCCACTAAGATCAGTCATTTGAATCCGTTTTGGCTTTTGCCTTCCCTGAAAGAATAAAGCAAATAAGCACTTTTTCTTCACAAAATTATTAAAATTACACGTCAAATTATGAATTTTTTCGCTTCTGTAACTATCTACCTCAACTTATCATTTGGTGTTAGCTTTCAAATTTTTCATTTTCGTATTTCACAAATTACTCTTTCATTTGTTGTTTATAATTTTTAGATTCTATCACTACTTCTGTCCTTCTTCACTTCCCGACAGTTTCTTGTTTCATCTTCAGTTCACAAGAATTTAGTTTTCTCTGTACCTGAAAGTTCAACAAGATTGCTTCAGAATTGTCACAGTGCTTCGCACTCCCTTAAGCAATCTAGTTTTCATTGAAAATATTTAAATGATTTTCCAAGTCATTCTAATTTAAAATCTTGCTTCTACTTAAGTAATGTAAATCCCAGAGTAATTATGTATTTTACTCGTCGAACGATTCAAAAAAGTATTCTGCATCTTTTGTTCTGTTTTTTATTTTCATTTTTACATTTTCAACTTGGGAAGCTACCAGATTCTAAATTAATTCTTTCAGCTTCCCTAAAATGTTCCTTCCACAACTTGCACACTCTGATTGGACACAAAGATTTCTCAATTCTTGGAATGTTTCATAACTGCGCGGTATTCTATGCTGTAGGGGATAACATAAAACCTGACAGTGATCTGAATTTTTCAAAGATTCAAAATTTACCAGGTCGATGCAGTTCACCCCAACCGATACTTTATAGACAAAATAACGGTAGTTTATTTTTTATTGATTAAAAATTACTGTACTATCTTCAGTAAGCAAGGCTATAACCGCTTTTTTTCAAACTATCAAAAAAAGTAAGCTTACTTGAAGTTTGAAAATTAAATAATAAAGTAAGCAAAATTAATGAAATGATCAAAAATTCGTTACTGAACGCATTAATAATAGAAGTAAAGCTAATAAGTATTTGGAAAAACATACAGGAAAAGAGTTAAATATATATTCATGAATAGCCCCAATTAATTTGAATTTTCATTTATTTGAAAGCTTCTGCATAATTTTCTTTGCTTTGTACACTATTTTGTATTCTTTTAATCATTCTTACTTTGAGATGTTCAGCATTAATTACTCTTATTAGCTGTTTTACTTGCAGCCTCTCTAAAGCTGTAAAAAATGAAATTAGTCAAATTATATCTCAGAAAATATTTGCTTCATTTAGTAGCTATCTTTTAGTCAATCACAAATTAATACTACTGGTTCATTAATCAAAATTTAACACATCATGATAGTTGGTGGGATTATCAGGAAGGCTTAATTGTTTGTTTGAATATTTTATAGTTCTGTTTATTAATATGCAAATATTAATTTAGAATTTCGGTTATTAATTGCACAAAAAATGAGCGCTTATACGGGAAAATGCAAATGGAACCAAGAATCTGAAAATTATCAAACTTGCAAGTTTGATCGGAAGCATTGGAAAAGACTTTCAGTGAAGCCATTTAGCAGCGATGAGTCTGAAATTATTGGATATACAAGTGATGTAAACACTAATATTCTCCATGTATTCTTCAATGATGGTAAGATTACTTTGCATTTAGAAAATTAGAATGAAATCAGTTTTATGCAAATATCAACTTTGGAGAGCAAAAATTGGAAAAAAAAATATCAGACTAAGTTTTTTGACCAGAATGTAGCAAATTGAGATAGGATCTACGAAATGGCATACTGTTAATTGCAAACATAATTAGATTATCTTAAGATTCGGTATGTAGTAAGCGATAAAAGTGAAGTGAAAAATAAATATGAGCAATATAGTGAAAAGTTAGATTCGAGCTAGGAGCAATAGCACAAGAACTGTTCTGTAAGTAATGGGAAAAAAATTGAGTATAGGGGAAGAGTTTCGATATATTTTTAGAAGATTTTTTGAATCAATCAATTAACTAACTGTAATTAATTAAATCTTGGCTGCATATCTTTCAGAAAATGGGCTTGTTCACGATTCAATGTATAACATTTCATCTGAAAAGTTCATCAAGAATGCTGTTCTGCAACAGAGAAATCTGAAAAAAATATCGTATGATTCTGACCGCGGGGTTAGTATGCAGTATAAAAATACTCAAATTTCACTTTTAAGTTAAAAGAATTAAGTTTTCGGGCGAATATCGGTATTTGAAAATTCTAAAAATTTGACTACTTTTACATTAATACTATAAACTTGAGAATTAACTTTAGTTTATTTCAAGTTGAACAATAAAAAATTGTAAGTCCAAAAATCATGCTAATCATATGATTTTTAATCATCGAGTTACTTTGAATAGTAAAGTCAGTTACTGTTTAACCTGTATTTGTACTGTTTATGACGATATAGCTTATTTTAAGATTATTTTTGAGATTTTGTGTTTCCATTTCCAAAAATCTAACAACTTCGTTTTTTAAAGGTTTTAAGACAACGAAATAAATTTGTGAAAATAAGTAAATTAATTCGAATGTTGCTAAAAAAGCGATAAAAGCTTGGTACGAATAAATATATGTGAAATTTTAGCTGATGTATATGCTGACGAAAGAAATAATTTACCAAAGAGTGAAGAATGACTTAGGTGTATTTATTTATCAACCAACTTATACCAAAGTAAATAACTTTACTCGTGGCAGTTACTCCGCTATTTCCTTCAGCAATAACTACTATTTGGTCAAAAAGGTCATTTTTCAAACCTCTGCATCAAATTTAATTTTTTTAATTGAAGTTTTTAATCATTTCAGAAACATTTCAAAAACAGACTTTGAACAGAATTGATTCTCATGACCCCATAATTAATAATATTGCATGAAAAAAGTTATAATAATATTCTTTGATTTACGTTGGAAGTCATTTGCCTAAATTTTCAATAAAATGATCATTTTATTCAACATTTTTTATATAAAATGAGATATGGAGTTTAAATAGTAAAATTTTTATGAATTATTTAAATATACATGATATCTCATCACAAATATAAAAATAGTACTACCTTGCTGAATATTATTTTGCAGACTTTGGGTGATGGTCGAGTGGCATACTATGCTGGAGCAGAGAATGTTTCAGAACAGTATTGTATCGTGGAATTATCATCAGAAGACGAATTATACATGACTTTGTTCGTAGGTTCAGGTGGCCGCAGATCAGTTCATGAATTAATTCGAAGTCAGCTTGCACCTCAACCCGTTCTTACCCGAACTATTCTCATAAACTCAACCCCAATGTCAAAGGCCGCTGCTAAGCCTTTGAATCAAGCACTTATATTGCTTCTCTTCACTTTGCTCTTATTCAGATAAAATCCTAAATTCAATACAATTTTTTTCTTGTTTTAATACGTTCAATTTAATGGATCCTTAACTAAATGCAGTCAAGCAAAATTGTGTATTTTAATATTCGCAAGTAAAGTCTACTCAGTTTTGTCTTTTTGTTTATTAGTTATGCATCGTAGCGAAGTATTTAAGTTTGTTTTTGAGCACAAAATCGTATGAAAAATTTTATAATTTTAATAAGCAGACAGTTACTTCTATAATGGAAGTTTGGTTGAGAATTCGTAAAGCTTTGTAAGTGATTGATTGATTCATGAACTTCTGAAATTCATCGTTGTAGCAGAAGAACAGAAATGAATTTTCAGAAACAATTTCTGTTTTCAAAAGGAAATTTTGTAATCCTTTTCTGTTTTTTCTTTTTATACATATATTTTGGAGCGAAATAATCATTCAACTAATTATTGATTTGATTTTGCTTTGTTCAAGAATTGTCAGTTATTTTGAGAGTTGAAAGTGTGGATAAGAATCCGCCAGTCTGCAATTCACTTTAATCCGTTCAGATTCCACGTCGCTTATCATTGGATTTGAGCATTAATAAGAAAAAAATAACACTTTTTTCAAAATGTTAGCCAATGAATTAGTCCTTTTGCAAAAATGCTATGAAAGTGAATAGTTGAAGTGAAAAACATGGAAAATTGGCTTAGGCATTGATTGCTTGAAGGCGAACGGAAGCCAAAAATCCTTCCCCTTCAGCGATTATTCTAACTCATTTATTTGGATTTGGATATGCTCACTTTCCAATTCATTATTTTTACATCAAAGCTACTAAAACCATATCATTATATTATTATTAATACTTTGCATAAGATCAGACTGTGCATGTATTGCTCCTTTCTCATCTGATAGTACAGATTATTGTAATCCACATTACAGTACACTATGATATTGTATTTATGACACTGTTGTGCGATATTTATTATCTTTTTTTTAATTTAAGAGTGTGCTAAGAAATTTAAGAAGTTCAAAATTTGGTAAAAATTGTCTGGAGTAAACACTTCACTACAGTATGAAAAAGCATATTTTTTTGTTACATATTCACAAATTCATTTTTGCAACTTTGAATAAAATCTAAATATTTTGAATAATATTTTGAAGATAATTCTATGTGTTTATTTTGTTGAAAATTGCATTGCAATTTGTAAATTCGTTTTCATTTTTGCACTGTCAACCTTTGAGGCTATTTTTCTGAGTTTTATTAAATATTTACATTTATTTTTATTTGCATAAACTTTGGCTTCGATTTTAAAAGCTCACAAGCTGATTCCAGAAGGCAGTAAAAGTTCTAAAGCAGAAGTGAATTAGTGACAAATTCAGACTTTATGAAAACAAAAGTTTGCAATTTTTTCAATACGAATTTACATAATTCATTCCCGAATGAAATTTATCAATCAAGTGTTTATTATTAGTAGAAAAGTTATAAAATAATTTCTGTTTGAAAATAAGCTTTTTCTAACATTGCAATTTTATTCCGAA